ATGGGATTTGTTTTAGGACATTAATTTTCTTATCTTCTATTATCAATTGTTTTTCTTGTGAAGCCCTTAAAACCTTATCTCTGATTGCCTTCTTCGTGAATCTCAAATGTACTTCTTTAGGTAGTTTATTTTTTTCTAGCATATGCTGTACTCACTCTGAAGGCTGCTTCCAGACCTTGGCAGAATTCCGCTACATCCATCTCTATTGCTGGTGCCAGGGCTTCACTCATTAATGTCTCCAAATCCTCAGATCCCTTTTCTGGTACATTTTGAATTCTTAGCATCTTGAGAGTGCGCTCCATTTCTAGCATTATTAGCCTGTCCTCACATTGCCTTTGGTCTCTCTGTATCTGTTGTACACTTTCTTCAGCTCTGTCTAGTCTAGCATCGCTGTTTTTCATTTACCCCTCTATATCTTGTGTTTTAGTTTTAATTTGTGTTACTTGCTCCTTTGTCTCAGTCAATTCTGCCTGTATATACGTCATTTGGTTTGTCATTTCAGTCAATCGTCAATTTATTTGATCAAACCCTGTGGACAGCAGACTCTGCATAGTCATCTGCCATTCTTTGTCGGATTTTTCTGGTTCTTGGGAGGTTAGTTTCCCTAGTGCTGATGTTTGGGCTGGAGAGGTTCCCGGTGTTTGGGGTTTAGGGTTGGGGTTCTGTCTCTTTGCAGCCATTATGAAATCAACCCAAATTCAAAACCTACTATCAACTACTAAGCCTTCCCAAATTTTTACCCAATATTGCAATATATATCACAGTTTTTTAAGTTAACACTTTAAATTTCAATTTCAATACGCCACAACTCTTGAATTGTCCACCAAGTCCTTCTGCGAGGATCCAGGCTCAGTAGAACCCCAAAAGCCCAAGCGTTAATACCGTGCAGACTTCTAGCGTCCCAAGGGTTTTTAACCAGACAATTAGATGAGCTAACAAAGCAGAGAGTTCAAACCATATACAGTCTCACCAAGATAAAAGGCAATATTCCATTGAAAAAATAATAATAATAAAAAAACCTTGCCTTTCCTACCTCAATACTTCCACAGTTCAGTTTTGTTCTTGTTGCAAAATCAAAAAAGAGGCTCCAAAGTCAATTAGATGTATAAAATCTAGCAATGATATTCTGCTTTCCTCCAGTAGGTGTCGTCTTCTCCTCACGCACAGTCTATCTAGTACAGTACATTGTAAATCCACTTAACAAGGGCTTCCTCTTCAGCAGACGAAGCGGGGGGGATTTTCTCCCCCCGCGGACATAAATCTGGCAGTGATGTTCTGCTTTCCTCCAGTAGGTGTCATCCTCTCCTCACACAGTCTATCTAGCACAGTACATTGTAAAGCCACTTAACAAAGTACGAAGCGGGGGGGGATTTTCCCCCTGTGGAGATAACATGCCGTCTCAAAGCTTCGGTACTCGATCTGTAATTAAAAGTTCTGTCAAGTACTTTATCACAACCAGACAGGATCAGTCCACAATTATTTAGTTCATCACCAATTTCCAGGCACAGTTTTTATTATTCTGACCTTGGCACGGTCCCCGGCCAGAGTTAGTTTCATTTTCAAGCTAGTTCATTAAAATAGGACTGCACATCAAAGAATTCACCACCTCTAGGCTCTTTTCGGTCTTATCTCCTTTACCAGTTCATTAGCTTAAAAGGCTTCAAGTTTTATTTATTATTGTCCATTTTTAACTGCAATCATCCGCTCTCCTCTTTCCTCGGACATTCCGGAGTACTCACTGCTTTTTGTCACCAAGATGGCATTTCCGTCCCAGCTCTGCCTCATGGATCTCTTCAGAGGGGGAAAAAGACAAGCCGCCGCCACTCCATTCTTCCTCTGATGCCCACGTTCCGTCTAGAAGAACTTCTCCTAACTCTTCCTTCACCCTTGTTGTCCCTTAAGGGTGCCAGGCTGGTCGGCTTTCGGCATTCCCCAGGAGCCTCGCCCGAGTACAGCCAAACAGCACAGTGACAAGCTCCGCCTCTCCGGTACCTATGGTATTGTTGAGTTGAATAAGACTGTGCCGTCTTATGGATTTTTTTGGAGATTGTTCTTAACTTCATCAGTTTTGTTGTTAAACAGACCAATGCCATAAAAAGGGAGGTCTTCAATGTGTGACCAGCTGTCCTCTTTAATACAAGCAGAGCAAAGTCATGCATGCCTTCTGAGTGCAATGGATCTAGTCATGCTTTTAAAGGTGGCATCAGCTATTTGGTGAGCAGCAATACGTTCTTAGTTTGCCAAGGTTGTGGCTTCGAGGTGGGTATTAAAAGCAGCAGCACAGGTTTCTTCTGATGCAGTTTGTAATACTGGGAGAACCTTATTCCACAACTTTCTATGATATGTCGCCATCGCTGCCTGATAGTTAGAGACATGCATAATAAAGGATGCGATGGAATATAAGCGGCATCCCAGAATGTTGAGCTTCCTGCCCTCTTTATTGGTAGGGGCTACACTGGAGCGATTTCTTGCTTGAAATTGTGTGGATTCAACAATTATTGAATTAGGCTGTGGGTACTTCACTAGGAAGATGGTGTCCTCTCTGTTGAGTATGGTAAAGGTTCTCTACTTGTCTGGATACTTGAGATTGAGAAGAGGGTTTATCCCATGATTCTTTGATGACGATAAACATGGCTGGGATGAACACAAAGTTGAGTGGTGGTGATTTATCCTGGTTGATATTGTCAAAGATGAGGTCTTGTTTGGGTGGAGGTGGTTGTTCTACTTCCAGCTCCAGAACTTTAGCCATCCAAAGAATTAAATGAGAATAAGAGGTGAAATCCTCTGAAGGTGAGGGAGGATGATTATCCACAACATCTGAATCAGGGATTCAAGTAACCAATCAGAAAGGGGGCCAAGAGTATCAGGAGGCAGTATAATTGAACTGCCTCTGTGAGAAGAGAACCCTGGGGTAGGAGAGCTATGTCGAGACATTGGCATGGAGGCCAAATAGCACTTGACATAGACGCATGCTGAGTTGATGGAATTGTCTCAGCGTCGAGAGGTATAGGAGGTGGTCCTCTATATGTTGTTGTGACTTGTACTGTATGTTGTTGTGATTTGAACTGAAGAAGACCTAACGTGGGATAGAGTGGTACTTGGGTGCATTGTGAGTGCCGGGTCCAATGCGGAAGAGCGAGGTCACTTTGATGCCAATTGATGTCTGGGTAGAGGGTCTAGAGGAGATCTCTAAAGTGACGGCTTGGAAGGTTTCGGTATCAAAACCGAGTCAGGTCGTGTTTCTCAAGAATGTGGGTGGGATCGATACCGAGGACGTGATGGCAATGGTTAAGATGATGCCAAGGGGTATGTATAGGCGTAGTGAAGAGTAGTAAGGAAAAGGTTCCTGATGTAAGTCCAAATAATCATGATGATGCTGAGATCTTCTATAGTCTCCATCTGAATATTCTGGGTTGGGTCGGATAAGTTTGTAGGCCCCATGGGTTTCTCTATGCGGATAGCAAGTGCACAAATGGTGCGTCTTAGCAAGATGCTTTCAAGGTGGAGGAGAATCCTGTATGGTGGAGGCTGAATCTGACAGCTAATTGCTGTAGCAGTCTTGTAGATGGAGGGCTAGAATGGGTAGAGGCCGGGCTGGAAAAGGCATCAGCCTGAACATGACCATAAGCAAGTGAATGAGTTAAAGCTGGAGACAAGATTTGGTCTGAAGGAGGCAAGTGTGGCCTACCATCTTCTGATGTCAAGTTGATGCCTGTGGCATGTTTGGAAGATTCCTCAAGAATGGGCGATGAAGGTTAATCAGTAACAACTGTAGGCTCAGGCTGATGTTTAGTTTTAGATGGTTGTTTGGATTTCTTCTGGTGTGCAGTTTCTGCAGGCTCTTCTGACTTTCTCTTTTGTTTAGAAGATAGGTCTCGAGCAGAGGTCATGGGCTCTTTGGGGTTGACTTCAAAGATTTCAATTTCAAAAGCTTGTTTGATGCCTTGGAACGAGACGTACCTGGTTTCAGTGTTGATGACAAGGCTTCAGCCGAACTAGAGGTGTCTGTTCTTGGAATCAAGACCAAAGTAGGATCCATAGCCGGAGGGTTGTTGGTGGACAGTTTTAAAGAGAACTCTCAAAGGAAGAATCTGAGGCATTGCAATCTAAGTTTACACACCGGTTTAGTGAGTCCTTTGCACTCCTGACAGAAATGTGTTTGATGTTGTTACTCCAGGAAGAAAAGACACCAATCGTGACCATCTGAGAGGGGGATTTTGTTTACATAGGAGGTGCACCGTTTGAAAGCACCCGCGCATGCCATAAAATGGTGGGAAAAACAGAATAGGAAGTGTGAAAGATCACTCAGAACAAGCGTCCTTTTGAAGCTGTACAAAATTAAAGTGGCCTCACAAAAGGCAGAAAAAGCAAAACACACACACACACACACACACACACAGTTCCAGTGTCAAGAGGAGTCTAACCTCAGCAGCAAGAAAAAGGAACTGAGGAGCTCTTCAGACAAGCGGGGCATGCACAATAAGGGGAAACGTCCTGCCAAATGCATGGTTTTAAGCTCTAGAAAGTTCCGAGGAGTCCTGTGCAGGCACAGAATTAACCCATTTGTGTGCATTCACAGAGAAAACAAGGTAAAGTCAAATATTTCTCAGATATTCCACCTTCCAAATCACAGGGAAACTTTTTTGGGCATGTATTTAACAAATAACAGTTGTTATTAAGGAAGAAAAAGATTGTATTAGGAAGATTGTAAGAGAAGCAATGAGTTGCATAATGAGCTGACTTTGAAACCCAGTACATAATTTAATATTAACAAGTTAAATCAAGTTTAGATTTCCAGCATTTTGCCTTTATGGTAATGAAATCTAGTCAAAATTTCTTAGTTATGCTCAGAGTTTATTGTTTTAATAAGGAAACTGTCCACTATGATTTTATATTTTATGCTTGTGACTATAATTTATACAGTATTTTATTAATTTAATCATATTTATCCACAAATTTATTATTCATGTTTTCAGTGTAAATGATAAGTTTATACTTACATCCTCTTGGAATTCGTACACTCTTAATTTCTTCCTTATTCTTTCCTAGTAAGAGTAGTACTGGGTGAAGAGACCTGGAACAATAGCTGTAATTTTCCAGGAATTGAAACACCCATTCTGCTTTCTTCTGTCCAGGACACAGGATTAAAGCTACTGGCTATATTTACACACAAGTAAAATACATCATATTGATTTAGAAATGCTTAATGAGTCAGAAGCTTATAAATCCAGGAGACTAACTTCCAAAATAAGACTGCATAAATTGTTCAGGCCAATGGCAATTAAGTTCTTTAAAGCTTATATAAAGAATAAAAGTTCCTATAATATAAACCAGTGGTGGTGAACCTTTTTGGGCTCATGTGCCCAAACTGGGGGGGAAAAAAAACCCAGTAGGTGGCATGCTGCAGCAGTGGCGGAACCGGAAGTGGTGGCAGAAGGGGGGATCTCATGCATGGATGTGCCTCAACACCCCACTCCGGATCCGCCGCCAGTGCCAGCTGCTCCAGATGCACCTGTCAAAATGCCAGCACCACAGCTGCAGCCGCCTTCTCAGGTTTGGCTGTACCGGGGGGGGGGGGGAGTAGTGATCCAGCAACTTATGGCTCGCATGCCTGCAGAAAGGGCTCTGCATGCCAGCTGTGGTACACGTGCCATAGGTTCACCATCGCTGGTACAGACAGCCACACATCTGTGAAACATCTTTCACATTTCTGTTCTTTCAGTTCCTTGAATATTTATCAAGTCCAGATTGCTAGCCAATATGAAGTGTGGACTTATCCAAGGGGATGCTAGCCACTGACAGAATAGATTCCCTCTGATCTACAGAGTTTGGGGATTCTTTAGAGCTTATAAGGAAGACTGAGCTGCAGGAGGAAAGAAGGGGAGATTTTAATATTGCAAGTGACAGTTCGCTCTTGCAAAACTGGCTATCCTTCTTCATCTAATACCCCAAGATGCACTTTATTTCACAAGATCCCTTAGAGATAATACTATTTATGGAAAAACAAATCACAGCCAGCGACATCATCAGCCTCACAACATGTAAGTTCCACATTTTCAGCCACTGTGTTACTGCTTAATTTGGAAGGCTAATCTAGTGTTGAATACTGACTATTCAAAAGTTTCCTACTAGTGTTTGTAACCACCTGAACATGCAATTGACAGGGGTTATCCACTTATTTTCCCACTGTTTAAGCAGCTGCACCAATGGTTACAATGGATTTAATCTTTTTGTCAGAAGCTAAGATGACTGCTGTGATGTGTAGCAATAGCCTCTAACAGTTCTACACTTTGAAACTCTAGCACCTCAAAAATGTCACATCCTGCATGTTCCTTCTATCTAGAGCCAGTGGTTAAAAATGCAGTACTGCAGTCAAGACTCTGCTCATAATCCAGATTCAGTCTCGACAAGCTCAGGTAGCTGGCTCAAGGTTGACTCAGCCTTCCATCCTTCCAAGGTAAGTAAACGGAGTACCCAGCAGGCAGGGGAGGGGGATGCATAGCCTGCATAAATAAATTCTAAACTGCCCAGAGAGTACTTTAAGTGCTATGAGGCAGTATATAAACTGCATACTTTATTTTTGCTTTGATGCATATCTAAAACCACCTTCAAAAAGCAACCAGAGAAAGAAAGCCACATACACTAACTGCTTAAATACATCCTGTTTTGTTTTGTTTTCTGAAATTGATGAGAACTTTTATTAATATGAACTGAATATTTTACTTACGCCATTTCTAGCTGGTAAAGATATGTAGCAACTTCTTGACTGCAAGAATGTAATAATTGGCAGAAGATACACAAGTGGATCCTTTTCAGGAGAGATGATAACTGAATCATAGCCACGAGCTATTGCTGGCCAGGAGTAAGACTGTGTATGATTAGGACCTTGGAATTGGTTCTTTAGAAGTTCCTACCAAGAAAAAAAGGCATAAATTGATGGTTAAATGTATCCACTAGTTTACAAAAACAGAGTCAAATACAGCTGTGGTCAAACAAAGTATTACGTGTACGTAGTGAGAGATTTCCATGAATAAAGTGACTGAATGTCTGCAGAAACTCTAAGGAAACCACCACTTTCGTGCACAATTCTGCTCTACCTACATACAGGTTCACTGGATCTCAGGCTAGACAATTTTGGAAGATGCGTAATTAAGACACAGGAAATAAGTCAAGATTCTGTGTATGAGACACCGACTAAATTAAGAGGAAAAAGTTATAGTCAATCAGCCATAAGAGACATCAAACCTGGAAGAACAGGTTACTTATCTCTAAATGTGGTTCTTTGAGTGGCTCTCCATGAAGTCACACACATGGTGTGATTAGGTTCATTAGAAGGCTGGAACAGTTCCTCCTTTTTGGCTTGTTTATATAATACATGGTCGTGGTGCTGTCTGTGACTACTTGAACATCACAACCTTGTATCAGAGGACAAAAAACACGAAAAGCTTTGATAAGCGCCCACATTTCTAGATGATTTATGTGGAGATGTTTCTCTCATGGAGCACAATGTGTGTATCTTGTGCTGTCCGCAGTGGGTTCCCCGCCCTGTGGGACTGGCATCTGTTGTCACTTGGATTGTGAGCTACAGGGGACAAAATGGTCAGCCCATGAGAATATGTGAGACAAACCTCCACCACTTTAACTGCTTTGACAGTTCTGGTGAGACACGAAGGCGCTTGGCTGAAAGATCTGTCAGAGGATCAAAATCTGACAGATACTGCAGAGATCGCTTCTTTAGTCTTGCCTGCGGAAGGGCAGCTGTAGTTGATGCCATCAGACCAAGATAATGTTGAGTATGGAGAGCAGAGACCCTAGCGAACGGATGGAATTGATGGGTGGCACAACGTAATTTCCGAACCTGTTCAGGAGGAAGGAAGATATGTGCCTTGTTGGAATCTAGGTGCACCCTTATGTAGTCCACAACCTGAGATGGGAACTAGATGCAATTTTTTCATGTTTACCGTCAAGCCCAGATCTTTCAGAGTCTGAAGGACAAACGTAGTGTCTTGGATGGCTTTCTGACAGGAAGCAGATACGATCAACCAATCATCTATATACGGGAAGACTGCAATATTGTTCAGACGAAGGTACGCTGCTACCGGAGCCATACACTTTGTGAACGTTCAAGGTGCAGAGGACAGACTGAAGGGGAGGGCGCAGAATTGATAAGCATATCTAGGAAGAAAAACGAAGGTGTTTTCAATGACATGGGTGAATGGATATAGGAAAGTAAGCATCTTTTAGGTCTATTATCACGAAACAGTCTCCTTGACGTAGAAGGTGAATGATGGATTCTAAGGTGACCATACGGAAATGCCTTGTATGAAGGTAGGTGTTTAGAAACCGGAGGTCTAACATGGGTCTGATGCCTCCATCTTTCTTTGGTACTGCAAAGCAGTGGGAGTAGAAACTGTTCGAGATGTCTTGAGACGGTACACGTTGAATGGCATGCTTTTAGAGTAATGATGATATCTCCTCTTCTAGAGCGGGTGTGTAAGATGTGAATTTGATGTGGCTGGCAGGAGGAGGCTCTAAAAGTTCTAGAAGGTAGCCAAATTGTATGATATTTAGAACCCAATTGTCCTTGGTGATTAGTGATCAGTTGTGTAGGAAGGGAGCTAACATGGATTGATGATGATAAACGAAGGGGCTGATTGTGACAGAGTCAAAGATACTGCTTCCCTTTCTTTGCAGGTGGACAGTAAGATTGACATCGTTGGATGGACGTCTGTGAGTGAAAAGTAGCAGTGGAAGAGGGTGTCTGTGAGGATCTCCCTTGAACTGACGGTTTGTAAGGACAGTAAGATTGGTTGGACGTCTGTTGGTATTGCTGATGACCATACTGTTTACACCACTGATATTTTTGGAATCTAGGCTGTTGTTGGATTGTGTAAGATTTGGCTGTCTTCTTAATCTTATGTAAGTTTTCCATCTGTTCATCTGTTTTCTCGTTGAATAAGCCCACAGCATCGAATGGGAGCTCCTCAATACGAGAGGGTCTCAGCCAAGTGTGTCTTCTCAATGCATTGGCTGATGTCATGGATTTAGAAGCTACATCAGCCAAATGGTGGGAAGCTAACCTTTGATGTTTCGCCACTGTTACTGCTTCTGAATAAGCATTGAGAAGAGCAGTTCGAGTATCTTCTGGGGCAGCCTGGAGAGCAGGGAGCACCTTGGTGCAAAGCTGTCTTTGGTAGGCTCCCATGGCTGCCTGTTAGCTACTCTTAACAGGAACGTGGCAAAGGAGTAGAGTTTCCTTCCCAGAACGTCTAATTTTCTTCCCTCCCTGTTAGTGGGAGTCACCCTGACCTTGCTTCCTGATCTGGATTGATTTGACTGCACGATGATTGAGTTGGGTGCAGGGTGTTTGACGAGAAAAGCGGTGTCACTGCCATGTGTGCGATAATGATTTTCAATTCTATGAGTAACTTGCATAGATGAAGAAGGCAAAGACCAAGACTCCTTAATAAGGTCCATTAAAGCAGGGATGAAAGCCAGACTCAAAGGGGAAGACCGCTCTTGATTAATGTCATCAAATACCAAGTCCTGCTTTGGTGGAGGTGGTTGTTCAGTATCCAGCTGCAAGGAATTCGCCATTCTCGAAACCATCTGTACATAAGAAGAAAAATCTTCAGAAGGAGAAGATGGGAGCAGGTCAGCTATGTCAGATTCAGGAGTTCGACCACTGGCAGGGGAATCTTCCGAAACCTCTGACAGCATATCCAGATCCTGATCAGAGGCAGATCCTGATAAAGAGTCATCTTGAAACAAAGGAAATGGTGAAAGTGTTATTTGCTGCCTTCTGTGTACCTACCTAGACACTGAGTTCTTAGATGTTTGCTGAACAGGCGGAGGAGTAGATTGACGTTGGGGAGCTGCAGAACCAGCATGCCCCTTCTTTGCCTGAGAGGGGACCTGTCTAGAAGTGTCCTTAGTTGCATCATGATGTTTGGTGTGCTTAGGACTTGAAGGTTCAGCCTTGTAATATACTCGATGCTGACGTCATGGTGGTGATGGGGAGGAGGACGACAACAAGGCATGAACATAACAGACTCTTTTGTGTTTACTGTAACCTTTGATTTCACAATAAGGATTGACATCGTGAACCTCATCTCGATATGGATGCCAGTTCCTTTTATGTTCAACCTCGACATAGACAGGGTCTTCACAGTTCGATCTAGATCGGTCGATATGAACAAGGCACCACAATCTCCCGAGAAGAATGGTGTTGTTGTGGAAATATATGCTTCCATTTCGAAAGTCGTTTATGAGGTGGAGAACTCTGGACTGAAGCCTCCAAATTTGAGAGCCTTGTAACAGTTGCCCACCTGACTGAAACAGGGCTAGAATGGTCAGAAGCCTGGCTAAACACATTGTCAGCCTCTATGTGGCTTGGCCTCGGTGAACAGCTCAGGATGGAAACTGAAGCCTGAGCCTGTCGGGGTGGAAGTGAGGAAGGACCTTCCAAGACTGTAGTGTCTCTGTGTTGGGTCAATCTCTAGAGGAGTTTTCAAGGAAAGCGTAAGTGAAGCTGAAATAGGTGGAATGTCTTGGGTTCGATCTCCTTTGGAAGAATGTGTGTCCTTTTTACTTTTAACAACAGTCTTTTTCTTTTGACTGTCCACAGATACAGGCTTTGAAGCCGAGGTCGACGTCGCAGAGGAAGATCTTTTTGAGACCGACCCTGATGGCTTTTTAACTGACTTCTCTGCTGATTTTGAAGGAGGCACAACAGGAGAGGACTGAATTGCAGTCTCAAGACGAGGCGTGGGTGGCAGGGCTGGGGTCGACTTCATAATACTGTATGGGATTTTGAAGACGACAGAGTTTTCTCCCACAAGAAAAGTTTGAGCCTTTGCTGACGGGATTTAAGAGCAGGCTTGGTAAAGTTCCTACAATCTTTACAAGCTTGAGGTTGATGCCCTTCCTCCAGGCAGATCAAACAGCGATTGTGGCCATGGAGTTAGAGATTTTCCTGGCACACAAGACACACCTCTTAAAGGGGCCCGAAGAGGACATAAAGTAAGCTCCCAGCCAACAAAATAAAAGGAAAGACTCACAGTACAGTTAGAGTAGTCAATAAGATCCAGTCAAAGCCAAAAGTCCAACATCCAAAAATAGCCAATCCGTAACCAGAAGTGAAAACCCTAAACAATCCAAGTCAACAATGAGTAGTCAGGAAATGCCAAATCCAAAACGCGAACGATAGAAGTGCAGGAAACATAAACAGTCTGAGTCAAAGACGATGGGGCAACGTGCAGAATGTAAGTCAAAATTCGTAGTAAAAAAACAGTGCATGATTCAAAACGTTACCATCAAGGAAAGAGATAAAGAAGAGAGCTGTATCCAGAAAAGTCCAAACTCTAAGGCAGTAAAAATGGAACTGAGGTTTATGGTGGGTGGAGCATGCGCTATAGAGGCAACGTTCTACTATGTTTCTTTTAAAGCTCTAGAATATTTCGAGGAGTCCAGCGCAGGCACAGACTGAACCCATTTGTGTGGATTCACAGAGGCCACGAAGAAGAATCAGAATATGCCTTGGTATTTTCTGATGGGGAGGGTGGATTAACATCTCCCAGTTCCAATTTGGGCATGGTAACAACAGCTGATGAAGGTTCAGGCTTGGATTCAGAATAGTAGGATGAATCTGAGGGAAATGGAGAGACTGAAGGCTCATAAGGAGGAGAGTGGAGTAAGGGAGTTTGAGACTGAACAGTTGAAGGCCGCAGAGATGAAAATAGGACCCGAGGATAGCCTGAACTAGCTGAGCTTGGGGATCAGATCTGTTAGCTGCAATCGAAGGGTGGAATTGATGCTAGAAAAGGTTCCAATGGTTAGGATTACACTGCATTGAATCCAAGATGACTGAAGAACCAGAATGATCAAATGGTGATGGTAAGGAAGCAGACTGCTGGTATACAGATCTGAGGATGAATGTATCTGAAGGCTGACTCCAATGCTGGGAAACAGCTGGTACACTGGAAACAGAAAAATGCGTTCCTTGGTCAGTGGAGCATTTAGATGCCCATGGCCATGGTGTTTCCAATGCTTTGGATCTGAAAAAGCTGCTTCTGGAGCCTCCGGCTTTGGAGCCAAGAAAGAGGCAGCAGGTTGGTGCTGGATGATGCACTGGAGAATCAGAGCCAAGAGAGAGGCGAGTTGTTGGAGTGGAGACAGAGAGGCAAGGTTAGGTGCTGATGCCTGTTTTCTCTTTTTAACATGAGAGACGGACTGGGCTGAATCTTCCATTTTAGGAGAAGAAGGCTAAAGAGACTAATCCCACAAATACCTGTTGAGGCAAAATCAATGGTTTTTAATAGCCGAGGGCCCAAACTTGTGGCAATGTGAGTGGACAGGAATGAGGTTGATGGGATTGACCCAAACAATAGACGCACATAATGTCCGTCTCACAAGGGAACTTTTCTGCCACAGACAATGCACTTCTTAAACGATCCCCCAGGGACAAGGAAAAAAAGGGGGGGACAAGGAGGGGAGAATTTGAAAACTTTTTTTAACAAAGCAAACAAGAAGAAAAAGAAAGAAAACTAAGGTAATAATAAAAGAAGCCAAAGGCTAGATAAATGAATGGAGAGTAAAGGTACAGTCAACCTTCAACTTATGAATGGCCCCACATACAAACTTTTTGATTTACAAACGACCCTGTTCGCAAAAATTGGCATCGACTTGTGAACAGAGCCTCGACCTACGAATGAGATCAAGGCTCCGTTTGCAAGTCAATGCCATTTTTTTCCGAACGGAGCGTTCGTCACCATCGGAGCTCTCAAAGGGCTTTCTGCCCAACATGGGAGGAAGCCCTTTGAGAGCTCCGAAGGCAAAAAGGCAGGGAGAAAGGGCTGGAAATTAGCAGCCCTTCAGGAGAAGCTGCGGGACGGGAGAGAAAGGCGATCTGCAAAGCCATCGGGAGCAGCCCTTCAGGAGAAGCTGCGGGACGGGAGAGAAAGGCGATCTGCAAAGCCATCGGGAGCAGCCCTTCAGGAGAAGCTGCGGGACGGGAGAGAAAGGCGATCTGCAAAGCCATCGGGAGCAGCCCTTCAGGAGAAGCTGCGGGACGGGAGAGAAAGACTGCCACAAAAGCCATCGGGAGCAGCCCTTCAGGAGAAGCTGCGGGGTGGGAGAGAAAGGCGATCGGCACCTTCGGAGCTCTCAAAGGGCTTTCTCCCCGACATCAGAGGAAGCCCTTTGAGAGCTCCGAAGGCAAAAAGGCAGGGAGAAAGGGCGGGAGATTCAGGGGTGCATAGGGAAAGTCATGCAAGTCTTGCCAGCAAGCTACTACTCATTAACGGGGTACTGTCTGTATTCCTTATTTTTTAAAATTATAAATAATAACATACACACACACACACACACATACACACATCCTGTTATACATATGATATATGTATTACCTTCTTCAGAGCCAGAAAAAGTGGTGCCATTTCCAGAGATGAGCATGGTTCAATTTTATTGCTAAGAACAACAGGACAAAGTTGGCAGACACTCAGAAGTGCCTAAAATTGAACAATCAGAATATATATTAATATGGAGTACATAAAAAGATTTATAGCAAACACTTTTTTACACTTGTAAAATACTTTCCTTCAAGGAATACAAATGCAGCAAAACAACAAAATTGACCACTGAGAATAAATTTCACATATTACATGAATACTGTTTAAAGAAAATGCTGAATTATTCAAGCTTCACTCTCTCAATTTCAACATAAATGCAAGTTGCTTCATAAATACAAATTGCTTTCCTTTATTATCAGGAAAAAGGATTTGGTAAGCTGATATGTATAGAACAACCCAACACTTTGTAAAAAAGAGTTGTGGTTTTTTGAAGCGTGAGAGAAAGCATTTATGTGCTCCGGAAAGTAAAATGCTTTAAAATAGTTACATTCATTGAGTTATAAATACAGAACTAAACAGTCCAAAAGCCTCTGATTTTTCTTGAGAATATATTCAGATACCTCTCTCTCATCTTGTTGATCAGCAGCTTTCAGAGGATCAGGATTTAAAAACTGCAGAAGCCTGAAAACATACAAGTTCACTTTTCAAATGTAAAGTTAGTTAACAGAGACCACTATATTTAATCTCTTTTTATCCTATTTTGTCTAGAACTTTGGTCGCACTGCTTCTGTCAAATCTTCATGATTATGCTATGAGGTGACTAGGGTAAGAGATTATGACCCTGAGCCAAAAGCTCAATGAACTTTACAGCTGCTGTGATCTTTATAGTTCATCAGGATGAGTAAGGGTCCCTATAATCCAAGCCGAGCACTCTTAAATAAATACACCACATCTAAAACAATTGTTAGCTTTGAGTTGCTAAAACAAATATTACAGAACATCTACTTAACAATTCAAAACAAACATGCCTGTGATATGCCTGTTCTGCATTACCTATTTGTCCAACATCAACTAAGCCTGCCTACAATTTCCTAATTTCAGCAGAGTTTCTACTGCATGATCCACCACTCTAAAGCGAGGTTGGTAAGTTCCTCAGACAGGGCTTTCCTTCTAATGTGCTCCTGATACCTGCTTTTCAAAGGAAGTCGGGCTGGTTCTATCCTCGCTGACTCTGCACTAGGCAGATAAAAAGGCATTATTCCATATGGCTGTTGCCTTCAAAACTGCTTTTCAAAACTGGCCTTCAAAATTGTTTTGATTTATCTTTACTGAGGATACTTTTATTGTATGTTGCTTTGGAAGTGAGGATAATTTTACTGTACATTACTTGGAAAGCCCTGGTAGGCAGAAAAACAATTAGTAAGGATAGTCTATCTGGGCTTAGCACGTCTGCACAATCCACTGTTGGAATATTGCAAAGCCTGAAAGCCCAAAGCTTTCTCCTCTCTTTAAACCTATTGAATATGCCCAGCCCTCTCTCCTCAGTTGCAACTGGTCTGCCTCCAAGCCTCCTAAGAAAAAAAGCGGTTGCCAAGACTTGCATCAAGATCTGCTGACACAAGCAATCAAACTTAGAAGTGTTTTCCAGACGAGCCGGGAGAATGTTATTCTGAAAGCCTGAGAAAGGACTCTGTGTGATTAGATAGATGGGAATTGTTGTGACTCTTTGAGAAACCACCGTAACCCAAATAACATCTTGTTTCTTTGTAGAAGGTGTCTTTGCTATGCTGACAAGTGTTTTCCAGACGAGCCGGGAGAATGTTATTCTGAAAGCCTGAGAAAGGACTCTGTGTGATTAGATAGATGGGAATTGTTGTGACTCTTTGAGAAACCACCGTAACCCAAATAACATCTGGTGCGTATGAGAAAGAATTCATGTGATGCAACAGGACTGTTTGCCTAGTAACGAACTCTGATTGGATGACATCGTGGGAAGGTGCATTAAGCCCTTGCCAGTTACTCTTGAAAAAGGAACTTTTTACCTATGGACATTGTCTTTCCAAGACCGACCTTTCAGTCATTCGTGACCTACTCTTCAGCCATTTGGGACTGGTGGCCTACCTACATGGACTGGTTTCTATGCTTTGCTGGATTACTTTTGGACTTATGGGATTTTTCCTAAGGACTGTGCATGGACTATTTTCTATGGACTGTTCTATGGAATATTCTTTATGAACTCCTTTTCTTGGAATACTCCATATGGACTATGCTCTTGTAATTTTGTAAGGACTATGGTATATTTACTG